TCTAGGTAGTGATTTTGTGAATTGCTAGATTCAGATCCCCAGCTCATGTGAGAATGCAAAAAATCAATAAAGCACTTCATAGGCATTTCATCCATCATACAAAGCTCTTCCTCTCACTGGAGTTTATGATTATGTGGCTAATTAACAATCAAGACATGGGTAAGCTATGCCAATGGACAAGACTTAACAGATTATTAAGGAAATAATCCATTACTAATTTACCTGCTTTTATATTCCTCCACCAATCACCTGATTTTAAGGACAAATAATTTTAAAAGCAGCTGGCTTATATAATCATTCTTTTCCACAAAGTCTCTTTTCCTAATGCAATGGCAACCTGATTTTCATTTGAGGGGTATATTTTCCAGGTACAGCTAACTAAATATATGCTAGATAAGGATTTTATTCATTTTAGCCTATCTCATTTAGTGTTAAAATCTATGTATATAATGCTTATAGGAAATGTGAACTTCCTCCAACTTTGAGATTCCAGTAATTACAAACCTTCAATAACTACAAGTGTCCTTTCAAATATTTGCCAAGAGCCTGCTATGTGCCAGGCACTGTTCCAGGTACTGAGGATAGAGCAATGACTGAGACAAAACCCCGCCTTCACAGACCTTCCAATCTGTGGAGAATCTCTTGGTAATCAGGATCTAGTATGTGCTTTGGGCGTCATAGTCACAGATACAGGTGCATATACAACTGGAAGTATTCCACAAACTTGCATGTCACCATTTTACAACTCCCTCAAATGTCCTGAATTGAGTCTTCTCTTAAATTTTAAAAGAAAATTATAACTGAGCTTGAGTCATAAGGTAAAACTCTCCCTCCCCAACGATGTCATTTAAATAATGTCATAAGATTTTATACTCTTGTATCCCTATTCTCTGCAACTTTTTACTGTTGGGGAGGAGCAACATATCTTACGTGTTTTAATTTTAAAGAAAGATACAATTGTGGAAAAGCATTATTTGGAGATATCCTCAAGAGATTTCTACAAAATTAATAAACTAAAATGCTAAATCATTTCCATTTACTCATTCACTTAATAAACATTCATCTGCCCCAGGAGCTCAGGCTCTATGTGGGGAGGGAAAGTGAAGAGAGATAACAAAACACATGCAAATAAGCAAAGAAGACTATGGGTAGGTCATGATCAGTACTAGGAAGAAAGTAACTCAGAGCTGTGACAAAGACTACAAGAAACAAATTTGGTGGGAGGGGGTGGGTATGTGCACGAAGTCCTGGGTTCAATTCCCCATACCTCCATTAAAAAAAAAAAAAGAAAGAAGAAACAAACTACAAGCCAGATTATCTATTAAGATACTCAGACTGCCATTAAAGTTGCCTTTAAAGCTTCTTGACATTGATTTAGAAGATTCCAAACATCAAAGTTCATCAAACTTACCTCAATTTCACTTTTATGGAACTAGAGGCAGTCTGTGAAATCTCTGGCAGAAAATAAAGGATATCACCCACTCGGCAGTACCTTTGGGATTGACTGGGCTTTTGATTATGTATAGTGTGGTCATACAATTTACTATCCAAACTGGAACATTTTCAAGAGAGAAAAGGGATGTTTTAATAATTGAGACAGAATAACAGGCACAAATAAGGACTTTCCACCAGGGCAAACCAGGCCATATGGCCACCCTGATTACAAATTACATCAAACAGAACTATTCCAAGTTTTCAAGAGTATTCTATAGTTTCAGATGGATTTAAATAGTAAGTAATACCCAAGTAAAGAAACTAAATTATAATTTAGATCATATAAACCAAGTGACTCCCTTACCAAAACGTAAAGATTTAAATACCTCACACTATACACAAAATCAACTTCAGGCACATTATAGACTTAAATGCAAAAAGGTAAAATGAAAAGTTTTGAAAAGGTAATCAAAGCAGCTCCATGATTTTGTGGTAGGGAAAAATCTCTTAAAAAAAAAAAGAAAGAAAGAAAGGAAAAGAGACACTAGCCATAAAGGAAAAGAGTGATAAATATGTCTACATTAAAACGAAGAACTTCTGTTCATCAAAAGAAACCATTAAATGGGAAAAGATACTTGCAGAAGATACATCCAGCAAAGGATTCATATTCTGAACACCAAACTCTAGAAAAAGACATACAGGAAAATGAGCAAAAGATTTCAAAGGCACTTCATGAAAGATGAAATCCAAATGACCATGATATGAAAAAGTGCTCACCTCTTTAGTAATCAGGGAGATTAAAACCAGGTACAACTACATATCTACCAGACTGGATAGAACTAAAATAACTGATACTTAGTAAACAATTTAAACAACTGCAGAATATTCAAAACTGCAGGAGGACCAAAACCTCCCCAAACCCCCCAAAACAAGACTGCAGAAATAGTCAAAACATGTTATATGCATGATGGAATACTATGCCACAACAAACGCCAAAATAAAATATATACAAGATGATTCCATTTATATAATGTTCAAAGAGACAAAACTAAATTCTATTGTTTAGAGATGTAAGCCCGAGTGATAGAATGTCAGAATAACGTTTGTAACTAGCTTAGGAGGGCAGTAGTTGTTGATGGGTGGAAGTAGCGGGTGGGAGGCTTCTGGGATGTTGGCAATATCTGTCTTACCCTGGGTGATAGATACAAGAATCTTTGTTTAAAAATATTTTATTTTTATCTGTGTATCTTTTCAACATGTCTGGTTATATTTCACAATAAGAAAAAGAAAATTCTCCCCAGAGGGGGAAAATATTAACATCCTAAAAAGAATTCTAAGAATGTTAAAGAGATTAACTCAATCCACATTTATAAAGAGTCAACAGGGATCTCTAAATCCAAATAAGTGCGGTGTGCTAAACATACTGTATTCTAAAATCGATGAATAAACTTTTGGCTTTAACCTGTTAGACTGCCATTCTTTATACAAATTTTGAAAAAGGTGTAATTTCAAATAAATTTTCAACAAGTCACGTAAATTCTAAAATTTTACGACCAAACATTCCACTTCCAATTTTGAAATTTGAAGTGCCCAGTTGCTGACTGGGAAGATATAGAGTAGTTTCAGATTAGACACTGCTACATAGAATATCAAGATTCGATGACTCCTTTTTGCAAACACAATTAGATTCCCAAACCTCTGTTACACATTAAATAACCTACACTGCTTAAGAAAAAAGAATTTTTATGTATGTGGGATTAAATACCAAAGCCATTAAGTACAGACATAAATTCAATGATTAAAAAAAAACCCTTTTCATTGCTGTAGTCATATAACACATCAAATCATGATAAACAGAACAAATTATGTTTGGCATGTGAATTTAACTATTACAGATTAATAAAATGTTTAGTGACTCTAGAAGCTGTTGAAAAGACAATTTTAAAAAATGTGGATCTTTATTAAAATACAGACTTTTTCAGGTTCTTGCAAAAGAGTGTATTCATAGATTTTTTTAAAAAGACTGAAATAAATACATTAGAAATCTTAAAAATTTTTCCCTTGTGAGGAGTAATGATACCACAGCCAACTCACCGGTAAGGCACTAAATTTGTAAGACACCTTAAAATTCAGATTAGGTAAAACAACGCTTTTTAAAAAGCTATTAAACCTCTTTAATGAGAAAAATTGTTTTCAACTTGTATGTGGCTCTCACCAAGAACTTTAGAGAGCCTTTTTCATAATTTCATAAAGCCAAAAAAATTAAAACACTACAAAGCTAAATATCCAGCTGGGGAGGAGGAGAGGAAAGGAAATTAAGATAAAATAATTTAAGATTCCCTACCTAGATATAAAATTTGTCCCAACACGAGTGCTATTAAAAAGGATCTACCACAGCATCCCCCCCAAGTGTCATTAAATACTTGCTTGATACCGAGAAATGACTCTCCTATCAATCAAAGGTTAATTTTTTTTCTTTTACAGATTTAGAAGATTGTCTTCCTATCCTTGCAACTGTCCCTAACAATGGTATTCACTCTATAACCCTTCAAGATGTGCTGGGAAAATTACCTTAGTTATCTTGCTTCCGTCTCCCCAGTGTTCCAAAGACCTGTGAAGTTTCTTTTATGATCAGGAGCTAAAGTTTATTTTTTTCTTGGTTTCCTGGCCGAGCAAAGGCCCAGCACGTGTGAACAGAAACAAAACCCAAACCAACTGTGGCGATGCTAAATATTTCGAGGAGGACAACTTCCTTCTGACACCCAGAACTCCCTGCCCGAGGAAGCCTCCACCGGGGTAGGTCAGCGTCCACTGACCACTGAGATCTGCCTTCTCAACAAGGGTCCTGCATCAAGTTGAACCCTCCCCCCCCACCGCCCCCGGGATTCCAGAAACAAGGCCGAAGCGAAAGCAGTAAACATTTTTAAAGAGACGGTTGCACAACAGGCTTTGAGAAGGATTCCGGTTTAACAGGTAAATACCATACACGAGACAAGTGGGATGTGATCTGCTCGATGGTACCAAAGGCATTTCGGGACCGTCTGCGTCGCAGAGGAAACCCAAAGTTTGGGCACATTACTTACAGTTCACCTGAGGAATATGCAACGAATTGAAAGTAAGAACGTAAGGAAATGGGTGCTGGAGAATCAACAAATCAGCACTTTAAACTCAGGCTAGGCGGAAAAATTCTTTGAATCCTCAGGCTTTGTTTGGTGGTAAAACAACAGAACCACCGAATTTCGGAGTTGGAAGACACGTATCTCCGTGTTCTCCAGCCTGTTCTCGGACTTCAGGACCGCCCCGCCCGGCCGGCTCTCAGCCCTGTAGTTCCCGGATTGAAGGCGCCGACCTTCCGGGCGGAAGACTGGGAGCCCGGGGGAGGCCGCGGCCCGGCTCGGCCCGCGACGCCGGGGCCCGGAGGGAGGGAAGGGAGCGGCCTCCCCGAGGACGACGGAGGGGGCAGGGAGGGAGCGGCGGGGGGAGGTGGGGTGGGTTGTGGGTCGAGAGGCAGGCGCAGCCCTAAGCGCCCGGACCGGCACCCCACCCCAAGGCCCGCCCCAGCGTACCTTTGGCGAGAGCTACGGTAGAGTTCTCGGTGTCGATAGTGTAGAGGATGCCCTCGTAGCGGATCTCCGCCTTAGAGATAAGGCTGATCTTGCTGCCGATGTAAGGGGTGCCCCCGCTCATGGCGCCGCCGCCGCCGCCTCTCTGGGCCGCTCGCAGAGAGGCAGATCCCACGCCGCTGTGGCCGCTCCGCACGCCCGCCTGCTCCGTCGGCACCTACAGCAGCCGCCTCAGACTCAACATGGCGGTGGCGCCGGCTCCGCTACCCTCCCCCAGCCTCCCGCCCTCAAGCCGCGGCGCGGCGGCGGCGGCGGCGGCAGCGGCGGCGGCGCGGGGCATGCTGGGCCGTGGAAAGCCGCTCTATCGCGAGACGCCGCTGGCTGCCAGCGGCTCCGAACTCCGCGACCTCCGTAGTCGCAGCCGCGCACCTCGGCCTAGTTTAGGTTCGCTGTACCCGAGGGGCCTGAGAGGAGATTCTGGGAGTGGCGACGTGCCTCCAGACGCCAGGACACTGCGGGCTGGAGTGGAGGCGCGAGGGGTTCTCTGGACTTAAGCTGCGGCCTCCGCCATTTCCAGACCCATTGTATCTTGTCCTAAGTCCCGTGTCTTTGCAAATACGGATCCGTCTGCCTGGAAAGTTGCCCACCTGCCTCCAAGCTCCTGGTGAGCCCCTTTAGGACCTGGTTACTTCCCCTTTGAGGCAGCTGCACCCCTCCAGGAGCTCTGAGGACCCATTACATCATCTGTCACCCAACAAGCCCGCCCCACCCCCACCCACTCCCACTTCTTCCCTTCCCTGCTCTTGGAGGAGGGATTCTGTCCACTTTCTAATGGTTTCATCCAGGCTCATGACATTCAGTGCCATTGCACACAGGCCAATCTCAAGTTTGCAGTTTTGATCAATTCTGTGAACTCTGGATTCACATAAAGCGTAACCTTGTCAACTGAAAAAAAAAAACCCACCTAAAACCTAATGTTTAAGAATTATATTTTATTTGCAGACTTGATGAAAACTTAAGTTCCCTCAGGTCTCCGAGGGACCGTGGGAGGTAAGGGAGGAGCCAGGATATATAGGAGTTCTTGCAAAAACAAAACAAACAAAACCCTAGGTAGTCTGACATCAAAAGATAACTCTTAATTAAAGAAAAACCAGACATCTCAAGTTAATGAATTTAGCACTTTTCTATGTGTGGGAAGATGCAAGAGTCTGGGCTCATTGAAATCATTCCTTTGATATGCACCTTAACTAGAGCTAGTAAACTGTTTTTCTCCATCCTGAATCCCCTCAGGGCGCACAGTTGAGGGTGGCTACAGTGGTTGATGGCTTGATGGCTGCAGAATCCTTTGTTTGCTTACATGGCAGGCAGCATTCATCATTACTACCTCCTCAGCATCTCCAGGTGAAGGTTTAATCCGCCATGCTCCTGATTTCTCCTCTAAACCTAATCTTTTCCCACTGTTCACCATTGAGGTACAACTTACTCAACAGTTCATACTTAACGATGGGACTCCTCTCTCGCCCCCACATCTGTTCTGACTGCAAAATCCTGTCCTTTTCACCTATAGAATATATCCTGAATCTGGTCCCTTCTCACCGTCTCCGCCCCCACCGTACAACGAGCCACCCTGTTGATATGCACCTTAACTAGAGCTAGTAAACTGTTTTTCGCCATCCTGAATCCCCTCAGGGCACACAGTTGGGGGTAGGTCCCTCTACCTCTGCATTTGTCCCCGATAGTTTATTCTCAACCTAGTAACCCGAAAGACCTTGTTAAAATCTAAGTCAGATCATATTACTCCTCTCCCCAGTGATTTTATGTCACACAGAGTGAAAGCCAGACTCCTTACTTTGGCTTATGAAGACATAAGTGATTTAGCACCTTGTTACCTCACTATACTATTCTGTTCTAGCCACCTCTTTCACCCAGAACTTTTACACTTCATACAGATCTCTACTCAAAGTCACCTCCGGAGTCACCTCCTTACTGTTCTGTTTAAAATAATACCACTTGCATCATTCTACAGACCCTTACTCTCCTTGCTTTTTCTTCAGAGCATTTAATCTCTCTCCAGTATGTCTATTTAATTATTTGTGTGCGTCTGTCTCCTTCACTAGAATGTAAATGTTTTGAGACGGACTTTTTTTCGGTCACTGCTGTATGATTAGGTACCTAGTAGAGTGTATGAAACAGAGCAGCTCCTCAGTAAATTGGATGAAGTTTGATGAAGGCAGAGCACAGGCAGGATGTCTGGTGAGCTGAGTGAACAAATGGTAAGAAGCCTGGCAACATGCAGATGGGGAAGCAGGAGCAAAGACTAGAGGCTATGCTGAGTCTGGTGCATAATGGCTTCTAAGGAAGGCTATGAAATACCTTCTTCAGTACAAGGTTCCTGCCAGGGAGTTAAACTCTTATTTCTGTTCTTTCCTCTCCCTTCTAGGCCTGCAACCCAGCTTGTCTTCTCATGCTTCCTGAGTGAGAGCTCATCCTTTTCCATATATAAGCTAACGATTCCCAAATTTACTTCTTCATTCCAGATCTCCTGACTTCCAGGGTCACACTAGCTATGTACTTACTAGATGCAGTTCTTGAGGTGTCCCATGGGTACTTCCAGCTCAGAATGTTCAAAATTATCTGAATTTGTTCCCTTCCCCAAAATAAACCTGCCTTTTATCCACGCTCCCTGTCCTATCACTGGCCCCAGGACTCACTAAGGTATCCAGTCTTGAAGCCAGAGTCCTTACCTGGGTATACCCAATCAATCACCAATCTTGCGGATTCTGTGCTCGTTCTGTGCTCTCTTCGGCAGCACATAACCAGTCTTGCTGATTCTACTTTGTTTTGCAATTCATGGCTTCCTGCACCCTGGGGCACCAGGAACTATGCATAAATGCAGTTGATCGGTGCAGCTGATTAGTGTGGTTGCCCGTAGTATATTTATTATACATGTAAATCTCTAACATATATATGCTAGAAAAAGGTTGAGAACTGTGACGCATTTCACCACCACAGCTTCTGAGGATTCAAATTCCATGTTACTCCCCTGCTTAAGGACCATTGATGACTTCTAGTAGCCTACAAAACCCAAAACCAAACCAAACCCCCCCAAAAAAACCCTCTCCATTGAATGTTTTCAGCAACAGAAGCTCTGGAATGGAAAAGCAATTGGGTTGGAAGAGGAAATGAGGAAGATAGGTCCAAAGCAATGTTTCTAGCTAGAATACTATTTTTAACTTACATTTGTGTTTTCTTGGTAAGACTGAGGAGTGGCTGATGGAGAATAAGGGGAAAACAAGGTTTCTGCCTCTCACTGTCTTTGGTGTGGCCACGGTTATTCATTGTAACTCCCAACATTCTGCGTGCCTGAGGCTCTGGCCACACTAAATTCATGTTTTCTCAAAACGTATGTATCACTCTCCCTCGTCTAATCATTCCTTCGTCTCCTGTTTGATATGAAAGGCTCTCTATCCCATCTCTACTTGACAGGCAAGATTCAAAGTTACCCTCACAGTATAGATAAAAATTACCTCAGAATAGATCAAAGACCTAAATGTAAGAGCTAAAACTATAAAACTCTTAGAAGAAAACATTATGGTAAATCTTCTTGACCTGGATTACACAATGGTTTCTTAAACAACCAAAGAAAAAGCTCAAACAACCAAAGAAAAAATACGTAAGTTGAATTTCATAAAAATTAAAAACTTTTGCATTTCACAGGACATTGTCAGGAAAGTGAAGAGAAAACCCACAGAATGGGAGAAAATATTTGCAAACTGTAGATCAAATAAGAAACTTGTGTCCAGAATATGTAAAGAACTCTTAAAACCAACAATAAAAACACAAATTAAATTGCCCAATTAAAAAAATGTTTAAAGGATTTGTATAGACATCCCTCCAAAGAAATATACAAGTGGCCAAATAAGCACAGAAGAAGATGCTTAACATCGTTAATCATTAGGGAAATGCAAATCAAAACCACAATGAGATACCACTTCATACCTAGCAGGATGATTGTGTTTAAATAGACAGTAACAAGTGTTAATGAGGATGTAGAGAAATTGGAGCCCTTATACATTGCTGATGGGAAAATAAAATAGTGCAGCCTGTTCGGAAAACAGTTTGGCAGTTTCTCAAAAAGTTGAACATAGAGATACCATATGACACAACTGTTCCATTCTTAAATACCCATGATAACTAAAAACATATGTACCCACAAAAACCTTGTACATAAATGTTCATAGCAGCATTATTCATAATAGAGTGGAAACAACCCAAATATCCATCAACTGGTGAATGGATAAATAAAATATGGCACGTCCATATGATGAAATATTATTTAGCCATAAAAACAAATGAAGTACTGATACATGCTCCAACATGGATGAACCTTAAAAGTATGCTAAGTGAAAGAAATCAGACATGAAATGTCATATGTTATATGATTCCATGGATATGAAGTGTCCAGAATAGGAAAATCCATAGATACATAAAACAGATTAGTGGATTAGTGGTTGCCAGGGCTGGGGAGTGACTGCTAATGGATGGAGGTTTCTCTCTGGGGTGATGAAAATGTCTGGAATTAGATAGTGGTGATTGTTAAACTATATTATTAATATTCTCAAAACCCACTAAATTATACACTTTAAAAAGTGAATTTTATAGTGTGTGAATTGTATCACAATAAAAAATGCCTCTTCATATTATGACTCTATTAAACTAAGGTTACATAGCAACATGGGCACATGCTTATAATATTTAAATAAAAAATCTGGATACAAAATTATATGAGTATAAAGACTTATTTTGAAAAAAGGCAGCATATGAAAATAAAGCAGTAAAGTAAATGCTATTGTGTCAAGATATTAGATATAACGTTTTATGGTAAATTTTCTCTGTGTATTAGTAAGGAGATGTGTTCTGTTATATATTTCTGTATAACAAACCACTGTAAAATTCAATAATTTAAAACAATTACCATTTTATTATGTCTCACAGTTTTTAGAGCAGGGCATGACTAAGTAATTCTGTTTTAAAATAGCACCATCTGTGATCATTTGGTGGCCACTTGCCTGGTCTAGAAGGTCCTAGATGTCTTCATTAACATGACTGGCAGGAACAGCTAGAAGGCTGGGACTCTTATAACACTGTGAAACCACCTTACCAGCTTGGACTGTCAGCTTTCTTATTTGTGCTAG